ATATACATTTGTCATTGAAAGTGCACTTCTAAATTAGAAAAAGCCTTAAACTCACCGATATGCGTATCCTCAATGTGTTGTATTAAGTCGCCTAAACTTGGAAATGTGATCCCGCAGCCATTAAATTTGCAGATGTTAATTAAGAACACGGCCATATCCCGACCGATTTGACCGATGAATACGAATGTCGCTTCGCTGCGCTACTCTGCTATGGAGCCGATGATATGTTGTTTGTTGGCTCTGTTTAGCTACAGGCACAGCAGCAGACAGGAAGGCAGCGCCCGGCGCTTGGTTTACTCCAATTTGGATGAGTGCAGTTTCCCTCGCACTTTATGCATACGCACGAACGAGTACGCTGATACTTCAAAGATACAAATGAATGCTACGCACTTGCTCGCACGCTCAATATCCCTAGTTTACGCTGTCGTTGACTTGTCTTCACCACTAGTTCGCTCGTTTGAACTCGCTCACTCTCGCGCACACAGCAAGTTAGTTGCGCGTTTTAACACTTTCTTTCCTGCTCACCCTCACGTTCGCTGAGCCGACTGATAAATACTGATGGGTTACGTCTTTAAATCTAATTTGACTAAATTTTATACGAGTATATCGCGTTTCTATTTAGCAGCAATCATCCAAAACTTTATTTACTTTAAGGCTGTTTATGATGAATTTTATGCTGAACGATTCACAAATAGCACTTGCATACTATTACCATTTTCCAATTGACAATCTTTTTGGATAAGCACCGCTGCACTTTGCTCTGCGTGGCTTTTTGCTTGGGCAGCGAAGTGTGGTGGCTGCAACAACGGCGTGAACTGTAGTAGATATGCAAGTGTGGTGAATAATGCTCGGTGATGCGGACTCGGTTATCTGGTTATTGTTGTTGTAAGAGTAAGCGTCGCTTTGGACGTCAATTTGCTGCTTGGAGGTACTGCGCGATTAATGTCCACTAGTACTGCCTCATCTATTTTTTCTGCTTGCAATTCCAAAGCTATTGTGACACGTTAATGCTTCCGTTGTGGCATTATTCTCTTAGCCAACTACTTTAGTACTCCGAATTCTGATTTAAAAGACAGCGTTTACGCCTGGTTGACTCCTTTCACATACCTAAAATCACCACACTAATGCGCATACATGAACCGACGTTTACACCTGCATTTATCGCTATGTCTGTAGCTGTAGCTTCCTTTAATGTTCCCTGCATGAATCCAATTAGTAACTATGTACATGTATACAAGCATCAAACAAATAGCGGATCAGCTATCCATCACCTCGGTGTTATCAAAGATATCTGATATTAAAGAACCCATATGTTTGAAACATATGTTACTTAGATTGTTCTAAATGCTACTACTAATTTTTAAGCTGGTATACTCCTCCGTAGTATAACACCACTGCGTTCGGGCTTTTTGTTTATTTTATGGACGGATTTCATCATCGATTTTGCTCTTTCTTATTTGTTTCGTCGTTTGCTATTCCCCTTAATTTTTGTCGCCACTCAGCGCTTCTCGCTTTTGCCCGCGCGCTGCTCAGATCCAATTTACGAGTTTTGTTGCCTTTTACAATTCCACCACCGCTGCTGCGTCAATATACTAACACACAAACACTCACTTACACTTACGCACATACTTGTTTCACATACATAATCGGTGTTATGCAATTTGGGCCCGTTGCTAGCCAGACTGTTGGCCAACCAGCAAAATTAGATAGATTTTCAACAACTTTTGAAGTTTTTTCCCACGAAAATTGTTGCTGTATTCCTTCTGCTCGTTTGATTAACAATTTAATTTTACCGTAGTCTATTTACTTCAGCCCGGTTTGATTATAGCATTTTGCTGCAGCTACTGCTCAAAAGATGTGTTCAATTAAAAAACATATTTAGATTTGTAGGTACTATATGAATCGTAGCGAAGCGACAACGTTTTACGAAGCGAACGCTCGACCCTCTTTGCTCGCGATTCCAAGCGAAACAATTTGCTGTTTCGATTCAATGCTGCTACAGCGGGTGCTACTGCTAATGAATAGAAGTCGACGAAGACGTCGGCTGCAGGAGAAATTCATAAATGCATTTAAATGTTGATTATGAAAGTAGTGCGTTTTGTTAGTGGAGAGTGGTGAATAAAGAACGAAGATAGAAATACGCACAAAATACTGAGAATTTTTAGTTAGGTCGACCATCATGGATCGCACCATTGTGGTAAATTCACAAGTCAATGTGCAGTGGAAACGGAAGAAAGCACAAGAACACTACGTTGTAAATATATCCTGTAGGAAATCAATCGTTGTTGTTGTTGTAGCGGCTACTAAACCCCGCTCGAGTCGGCTCATCAATCCGCGTTGTCGTGNCACCTGCAGCCTAGCAACACATAGCCAGACACTTGCAACAAATATAAAATTATTATAACAGAAATTTACATTTTTCTCTGTTAACTCTTCTTGAAATGTTAATCGCGCTGTGGTGATATTCCATGGATTTATTTTTCAGCCAAACAATTTTACGTTCCAAAAATTTGCACCTTCTCTATCTATCTGGTTCAGCTAAGGGAAGGCCCACGAATCGCGCGACTTCCACAGGGGCGGTCCATAGGGACAGGGGCTTTAGGTGTGTTGGGTTTTGGGGGCATCCGAAGAGGTGTCGGGTCATGTGGCGACTCTTCGCATGCCGGGCTTTGATTGGACACATCTTCCTTAATTCCACTCAGGTACGAGTTTAGCCTGCTGCTATTGCCAGAGCGAAGTTTGACTATTGTGGCGCGGGTCTCCCGAGGCAGAAAAAGTTCTGTCCCGTCCACGTCAGGTGGTTGTGTGCCCAGAACGGCATTCACAACTCGAGAGTCTTACATAACCCGAGACCGACTCCTTGTGAATGCCGTTTAGGGCCTTTCGGTATGCAGTTGGGTCCAGACGTTATTTTACGTACGACGGACGAAGTCAGTTCGTAGAGATGCCTCCTGACGTGCCTTGGCGAGGGCTCTACTGCGAGCAGTTGTCTGTTAGGATGCGCGCGTCTGTGACATTGTGTTATGTTACTTGATGGGGAGCATCTGGGCCTCGTCGTGTAGGTGGTGTTGGGGAGACATCAAAAGGCATCCAGTCGAAGTCCGAAGTGCCATATTCTGGCTAGTCCGTAGCTTCGTCCACTGCGTCTTACTAGTCCCCGTCGACCACATNGACATCAAAAGGCATCCAGTCGAAGTCCGAAGTGCCATATTCTGGCTAGTTCGTAGCTTCTTCCACTGCGTCTTACTAGTCTAATTTAGAACCGGCCGGCCAATTGCCTTGTATGTTGCCAACAACGTTGCTTTGTCTATGCCCTATGTGCTGCCGGCCAGCGACTTGAGGACCTGGTTGCGGCTCTGTACTCTGTTGACAATTCCGGTTGTATGCGCCGAGAAGTAGAGCATACTGTTAAGGTAACTCCGAAAATATTTGGGTTATTCACCGTCGGAATTGTATACCCAACTGCACAAATCATCAATTCCATTCCCAGACGCTATCATCGAACAGTAGAAATCTACATTTAAAATTATAAAATTATAATTTCAACAATCAACCTATCGTAGCACGAAAATCTTGTGCGCCTTACCGAAAAAAGCACTTAAGCGAATTTTCTTTCCTACTTCAATGAGGAAGCTATCCGAATCCCTATGAAACCAAATAATAGAGGAGCACTTACCACTTGACAATTACTGCAAACGAATATTTCTCCGAATAGTATCTAATTATCTATATAACTACATAAAATGATAGCCGTTTTCGTTCTTCTGCGAGATGAGCAAAATAAATATAAGCTGATAAAATTAGGGTAAGTGTAGAGCCAGTGCAGGTTTACGTAATACTTTCTTTTAGGGGACTCCCTTAAACTCGTAAAGTCTTAAACTGTGTAGAGCTCGTAAGTTTAAGAGGCTTTTATGAAAATGCCCTCTTTGTGAAAAGGTGCGTAAACTGACCGTTTGACAAATTAACCAGGATTCAGTGAAGTAATTTTTGCTTCGTTGTTTCCATAACATCCCGCCATCTTGTCTCTATTACTCTTGGCTAAAATACAATTAAAAATGCCGAAAATTAGAAGAAAACCCAAGTCAATAGAGTTAGGGCCGGTTGTTCAAAACCTGGTTGACACTAATGACCTGTTAAACATTGTTATCGACGTTACCGACACCGAGCTTTATGAGTTTAGAGTTTAGGGAAGACCCCTTTTGGTAATTTCTAATAGTTGCAAATTTTTAAGGCGAGTATCGCTAATGTGCTGTTTTCTTATAAATGTTAAAAATAATGCCGCTGATGCGCATTTTGGGGTAGGTATCTTAAATGTGCCCTTAAGCATAAAGGCAGCAAAGCAAAATATACTGTATTAGTAAAAGTGTAGCCAGAAAACCAGTAAAACTTGCAATTTCAGCTGCCATTTTTGCTCTCTCAATTTCCCTCTTTTGCTAGTTGCTGCAAGTTTTTCCACACGAAAACGCCACCAGTAAAAACCAGTAAAGTTATTATTGGATTTTTATGGATAGTACGTACGCAAACAGGCCTGGGGCTCGATTCTGTAACTGTGAGAAAATGTAGTGTACACCGAGTGCAAAACTCACAACCAAAAACTCACCGACTAAAATTCAGTGAGTTTTTCGGAAGAGAAGTGTCCACAATTTTGACCATTAAAACTCATTCTCACACTTCCTGAATCGCAAAATGAAGAGTGTACACAATTCTCAGTGTTCACTTGAAAACTCACAGTAACAGAATCCAGCCCCTGGTGTCAAACGCCTTGACAGGTCCAGATTACAAAAACCGTTCTCTCAAAAGCGCGGTTTCGGTTAAGGCCACGAGTTATCTATGTATTTATGGCGTTAAGTGCTGTTGTTGTGCTGTGCACTTTACGGAACCCGCGCTGGGGACAAATGGTTTGTGTAGTGGGGAGTAGAAGCGCCGCCAGTGTCTTCGCTACCGCGGAAAGGAGGGTTATCGCACGATAAGACTTTCCTTGGTTGGCTGGCTCCCCGGTTTGAGCAGAGGGACCACTTTCCCCATTTTCCAGATGACTGGAATGATGAGAGTGGCCATTGACATAATCTACTCACAAGCATATATATTCCGTCGGGTCCCAAGACTTTGGAGGCTTTCGCCTTCCCGATTGTTACCTGAACTTCACATCTAGTGAAAGCAAGACGCGCACTTGTTGTTGGCAGTTTGTACAGCCTTCTGGTCCCTTGACGTTTGGCTTTGTCCTCCGGAGGATGCAGTCTGATTTGTCGGCTAAAATAGCTCGCGCATCGCTCCTGTGGAACTTACGCCCATCTACATACGTGAACGTCGATTGGTGTGGGAGGGCAGGGAAGGTGCTTTCAGTAACATCCGCGAAGCCGTTCCAATCAGCTTTAGAAGATTTGATATAGGTTCGGTGTTCCACTGCAGCAAAGTCGGCATATAGTCTGATGCATGGGTCGTCACCTTATGCTGTTTATCAGACCAGCGCATACAATCGTTGTCTGGCGAACTGCAACAGCTGCCCATAATCCTGCAGAGTGCGTCGTCGCTGATTGTGCAGAATGTCGAATCGTCTATCAGACATGTGTTTTCCCGTACGGTCATTTGATAGGTTTGAATGCCAAACCGAATTTTCTCCGACAAATCGATACCTGGACCATTAATAAATCGATTAGAAAAAGTTCGAGGCATCGAAGCAAAACATCGATTTTTTCACATCAATGATGACACTCAGGGCCGGTTACTCAATGTCTGAATAACACCAATCTGCGGTTAAACATCGTTATCGACGTCTTCGGCTCCATGCACACAACAGTGAGTTGGTAACGTCGATAACCGGAGATTAGTGTTAACTGGACATTGAGTACACAGTTACGACTGCATTACTAATGAAAAGGCATATGTCCATGCTAGATTTGCATATTCTTTGTATCGCACGCTCTCTGAGTTTTGGTCAGTGTTGTCATCGAAAATTCCCCTGAGCCGAGTTAAAATTGGGAATCAATTATAGGACCTAATCCGGAACAATCCAGAGATAACTAATAATTAACGAGCTTATCCGGATCAATGCTGCCGTCTGTCTATTTATATATATATATATATATTCCATTTTTGATTTTACGCAAAATGGAACTAACTTTCATGGTTTGACGTTAAGCTGCGGGCATGAAAATTAGATTTTTATATTCCCGGGGATTTTGACAGTTTCACAATTGTGTTATTTTTTATGAAAGAGCAGCATGTTCTAGGCAAAAATTTGGGCGACCCTGCCCATATCAAGCGTTCGAGGGATACAATTTTGAAAATCAGTTGCTCATGACTGGCAAATCAAAAGCAACATGCAATTTTTTACTGCCCAATTTCTGCAGCATTCCAGAAGACTTTCAGTTGAACATCTGCAACATATTATCAGCAACAAGGCTGCAATATTGCGGTAATTACTACGTAGCTCGAACACATCGCATTTCGTACTTACGCTCATTTTCCCGAAGCTCTAAGAACAGAACTAATTTATAGGGGTGTACTCATACCCAAAACTATCAAAAGTTTAAAAGCTCATTTAGTCTAGACTTAACTTAATTAAACTTACCATAAGAAATCAACAATTATTTCTCAACACGACAACTTAAGCCAAGAGCGGATATATTTTGTTTTTGTATTTTCGTATTTTCTTTTTCAACTGTTTAACAGTTCGTCACCTAAAATGCCACATCAAAAAAAAATCATGCAAACAAAAACGTGTGCCTTCAATTATTTTTGAGAAATACAAAAACGAAATTTCCGTAAGCCCGTAACTATCTTATCTACAGGTTCTTAAGTTGCTAATAGGGCTTTTGCACGAGGCGATTTTTCAGGCAACTTTTGCGTTCCACTCACGCAGGGTTGTACGAACAAGAATTTAATGGCTAAAAATATCAAAATATAAAAAAATATCAAAATATTCGCCATAAAAAGGCGTTTGCATTGTTCAACTTTGCATTCTACTTTTGGTTAAACGGCCTTTCAACTAATCGCTTTCAACAAAGTTGGTCGTCAGCCAACATTTAGCCATTCAACTTTTTTTTCGTGCAACCCTGCGTGAGTTGAAAGCAAAAGTTTAACGCAAAATCGCCTCGTTCGAACACCTCTTTAGGTAAGTTAAGTTCTAATTAACCGCCAACACAGCTTCTCTATAACAGGTTGGCAAAAATATTAAGTTAAATTAAGTTAAGTAAATTAAGTCTAAAGTAACTGAGCTTTTAGAAAACTGTTACTGGTTTTGCATTCTCGTACCCAAAAACTTGCTACATAGAGATAGAGAGGGAAATCGAAAGATCAAAATGTGGTAGAGAGTTGCAAATTTCTGCTGGGAAAAATTTTCCCGGCGAAATCTTGCAAGTCACAAACACATGTTTGCAAATAAACAAAGAAAATATGGCCTTTTTGAGTTATTTATTGCAAATTTTATTATTAATGCTAGTATACAACGATTGAGTGAGTAAATTTATTAAGCACAACGTTTGTTGAGTTTGTTTTTCATTAATCGTCCCCAATTTATTTACTTTAGTATGTGTTGACTATGGTTGCCGTATGCCAATTTTAGTTTGTATCATAATTTTCCTTTAAATATACCAAAATAGATTAAGCAGATGCAGCATGCTGAAATGTTTTTTGCTGAAGTTGTCGGTTTTGGTAGGTTGATTGTTGAAATGAAAATTTTATATTTTTAAAGCTACATTTGTAGCTATGTCTATTAAATTTTTTTGGATCAATGATGGGTGTTTGGAGGAGATTCTCTTATTTTTGAATGCGTCACCATGTGATATCACAAATAATTGTGAGAAAAATAACTTATTCATTCCGATATAAATAATTTGGGTTTTAAATAGGTTTTTCTTATCCAAACCCAAAAACATAAAAAAAATATTTCTCCAACCTTTGAGGAATTTATAGTTCTCAAGTTGATATCCAACATCAATCTCCAACTCATCTCTAATCGACGTGCAGATACGTAAAAAGTGATAGAGAAACGAATTTTTAACTATCAAGTGAAAAACTAAAGCTATATAAAGAGGAAAATTACCAACAAAATGTAAATAATCTTCAAAGTATCCTCAAATATTCTTGAAAGAAAATAAAATGCAAAGTGAATCAAGTGTCAAAACTACTGTCGGACTGTATAGTGAAGTGGAAGTGAATTATTGTAATACGATATTGATTAACTACATAATACAAAAGGTGTAATAAAATGAAAAATTAATATTTAAATTCATCTATGTATGTCGGTTCAACCAAAAAGGTAGAAGGTATTTTACTATTTCAATTTCAGTATTTCAATTATATGTTCGAGACCAATTGGAGAATTAAGTAAGAGTTCAAGTTGAGAACTAGCTTTTTCTCGACTTGAGAAACAGTTCCTTTTTCATACAAAGAAAAATGTTCTTTTTGTTGAGAACGATATAATACTCCACTTGAGGTACTCTTGATAAAAACGTGGAGATTTGAGAAATACCTTAGTTCTCAACTTAACCTCAAGTTGAGCTCAAATCAAAACATTTGTTGTGTAAAATGCCAAATCGGGGGAAAATGTACCAAACAGAAAACAAATTGCCAAATGAACCACCAGTGGCAATCGCGGAAGTGATCAGCTGTTTCGAAGGTTGCAAGTTTTTGCAAGTTTTTCGTTCTCGTACTTCTATGGATATATTTTCTCTTTGGGAACGAATGCTGCTAAATTCTGAGAATGTCTGCTGTTGGATAATTTTATTCGCTAAATACGAGTACACACCTCATGTTCGTTCGATGCTATGCTGATACGATATATGTTTATATGCACATACTCAGCTTGGGGCGACAGAATTTTCTTAATTGACATTCAACCTCATTGCGTTAGTCGTAAACTAAACTTAAGTGTACGACTCGACGATGTACGATTGGCATTGCCTAATGTCGTGCAGAAATAAGCAGGGACGTGAACCGGTTTTGAACCGAACCGGTTGTGAACCGTAAAACCGCTTTTTTCTATTAATTAACTGAACCATTAACCGAACCGAAATTTTCTACAAATGTTTGATCCTAACCGAAAACCGAACCACTTTATATAAAGGTTTAAAGGTTCGTTTCAATCAATTTTCAATAGATAAATGCACCCATTTTTTTTTTTTTTTTTGTTAAGCATGGTAATACCTACCATGTTTGTTTACCATGTGACAATATCAAATGTAAAGGCAACCCATTTCACTTGACAGACACTTGACCCTTAACCTTGCGCGTTGTTGCACTTGACACTTGACACTTATAAACTTGGGTGTTCTTTTTTTTGTTTTTCGAACCGTTGAACCGAACCGAAACCCCGGTTCAAAGACCAAAAAACCGCTTTGAGGAACCAATCCAAAAGTGCAAAAAGGGTTCGAACCGCTGAATCGAACCGACCAAATTTTTCATCCGGTTCACGTCCCTGGAAATAAGTAAACGAAGAAAATCCTCGAAAGCTCAAAATTTTAGGCAATGCCATGCTCGACTCGACTCTCGGAAAACGACTTGCACTCGGCAGGACACTCGCAATGAGGCTGATTATTTCGGCCTATGCTGAATATCTGATGCACTGACTATCGTCGACGATGCCGATGACGATATTCAGCATAGGGCTGCCGATTTAGTCTGGTCACCGTAATTTAATCATTAACCCTAATTTCTTATCATTGTCTATTAAATTAATAGTGGAAATTTGTCAAGCTGTGAGATAACTACATATGTACATACATACATACGTGCGTAATCCTATCGGGCTGAGCTTAATGATCACTCGTTCTCTAACATTAACTGAGTGTTGCTGCTTTTAATCGGGTTTATATAAATGTTTTAAAAACAATAGCAGATGATAGCTTTTGAACCAAATTGAAAACAGTGCGTAATAAACTTTCGAGTTCAATATCTTCCAATCAGTCTTGCTAGTTAGTTCGAAAGGTATTATTATGGCATATTTCACAAGTAAAAATTTGTGGGACAAATATTAATTATTTTTTTTCCTCAGCCATACGATAATCTTCTTAATTTTGGGAATTTTCATAACTCGTATTCGTTTAATTGATTCAAAATAAAGAATGTTCATATGTGCATATATAAGCGTAAATTGTGAACAAAAATTAATAAATTCTGCGCAGATTCATACTAAAATTCCAAATTGTTGAACTAGTACTCCCGAATGCCTCAATTTTCGCCTTTCTACCATAGTTAAAATTATTGTACATATTGGTGTTACCATATTATTACAGTAAAACTGAAAATGTCGTAATAACGCAACCCATTTAAAAATTGATTGGCACACTTCGTTGACTTCGTTTCTGATTTCTGAATACAAATTCACACTTTTGCTGTGAGAGATGTTAAAGGATATCCTATCGCACAAAATCCTTCATAACATTAAAAGTAATAATCTGACCATCAAACGGATTGATAATCAAACAAGGAGATTAAACATAATTCTAGAACATTAGGACAACAACACCAGTGGTGGCCACAAAATTTGGAATATGTTTTGGTTACTTTCTTTGAAATAATTTCAGCACAGATATTTACTTATTGTTCAGTATGTGATACCGCTAAGAAATCAATGGGTAAACGAATCCCATCGTGGACCTCGGCAGTTAAATATGCCAGTGTAAACGTCCTTTTACGATTATATTTTTGAAAAGGTGGTAGTGCGAATTATATAATTGTACCACATCCAACATCAAGTTGAATTGGATTCACCACCCGGAGGGAAGACATTCGAGTCGTTCATTCGTCATTCAATTTTGGAAGTCGGACCACTGTTGTAAGGGTTTGTTCGAAGTGAGTACACGATTAATTTGCTGGCTCTTCTGGGCAAATAGATTTTCTGATTACTGCTTTTCACTGATTGAGTAATCACTACCATTGTGAAGTTTTCAAGTGTTTATAAATGCAAATATTTGATAAGATGAAGTTAAAAGTGAACAAAACAGAACATTGGTTGAGTATTACAATTAATTAGGATGGTTTTGTGAAAGTGAATAGATTTATGCAAAGAAATGTGGTTTTTCCAGTGGTAATTGCCGCCATCTTGGCGTGAGTGTGTATGTGGTCTACCATGGGAAAATGAATAGGAACGTAAAAGAAATGGAACGGTTACGAACGTCAACGAACAACGGCGCGGTGAATTTGTCAGTGGAACGAGATTGACGAGCTCATCGTAACGTTACGAAAGCGGCTCCGCAGTTCTGTAGCAAGACTTGAAAATTAATTTGTAAAATCAAATACTTCCAAACAATTTTGAAAATAGAAGATATTTTATGTTAATACGAAGTTCATTCTTAATACAAAATAAATGGTAGTGCCAATCTGTGTAAAGTTGCGTTTTTGACAGTTGGTTAAAGTTACGTAACTTTGCGTATGGGTGATGGTTAATAAAAATCGTGTGGCAGTAATTAGAAAATTCTTCAGCTCGTCTTCTATATTCATCAAGATATTAATATTTAAAATTAAATTCAATAACTTGATCTACGATTTTCTTTTCAGAGCACTGCGCTAGCTTCAATTACTGGTTGATCCACGTAGCAACATCAAATTAAAAAATATACAAAATGTTCGTGTCAACAGTCTCCCGTATTGCCCCCGTCGCCAGGACTGTCGTAAGTTGCATTTATATGTTTTAACAATTTAGCAAATTGTTGATAGAGCGTTTTAGATTGTATTTGACAATCAATTTCCATTACATAAGGACTTTAGAATCGATTTTCCTCATTTTTCTATACCTTTGGTTCATAATTGAGGTGTGGTGAACTTCAAAACTTGCGGTNTGTCGCCAGGACTGTCGTAAGTTGCATTTATATGTTTTAACAATTTAGCAAATTGTTAGTAGAGCGTTTTAGATTGTATTTGACAATCAATTTCCATTACATAAGGACTTTAGAATCGATTTTCCTCATTTTTCTATACCTTTGGTTCATAATTGAGGTGTGGTGAACTTCAAAACTTGCGGTGAAATATTACATAAGAAAAAATGAGGTTAGGTAGCAGCGGTGTTGCAGCCTTTGCGACAGAAAAATTGATTGTAAATACGCTGAGATATGTATTTCATTATTATACGCATAGCAATATCTACTAAAATTAGTAATACTATAATTAAAAGGGCGTCCAAAGCAATATGCTGTTTGGTCTCGTGATATTAGATATTTTGTTTGCCTTCATGAACACGCTACATTGTATAACTGGCAACTTTAGTTTTATCATTGAGGTTAAAACTGGTACGACTGCTTCGTAGGAAATTGTATGGATTCATTACTGTTGCATTAATGATTTAAAATAATTTTAAATACCTTAATTTTTTTTCTAAAATTTATAAAAACTCGTAAATTTCCTTGTTAAGGTTACGTTGATGGCTATATGGTACAAGAGGTGAAGCATGTCGTATAGTAACAAAGTTAAGANTTAAATCTTGTTAAGGTTACGTTGATGGCTATATGGTACAAGAGGTGAAGCATGTCGTATAGTAACAAAGTTAAGAGAAATTTAAATTGGGGCAGACGAACTATTTAGAAAAAATAACACGGCACCTGTTTATTGCTCTATGGAAGGTTGATTGCATAACGATCGTTTTTTGTTATGCGTTCCGAATGTTATTCTGTAAATATACATACATATCTATGTAAAACCAACATTCATTTTACATAACTTTCAAATAGATTAGCAAGGATAAAACTAAAATATTATGGAAGGCCAAACATGTATATCGTTTACTTAATTCCTAAAGACTAACCAGCATATTTTCTGCTTTANACATTTTACATAACTTTCAAATAGATTAGCAAGGATAAAACTAAAAGATTATGGAAAGCCAAACATTTATATCGTTTACTTAATTCCTAAAGACTAACCAGCATATTTTCTGTTTTACAGGAGAAGCAAAAAACAAAAAAAAATGTTCCTACGGATAGGGTATTTTAAAAAGAAGCATAACTCCATTGTTTTGTTACTAACACTTTCAGATTTTTAGCGATGGNACAGGAGAAGCAAAAAACAAAAAAAAAATGTTCCTACGGATAGGGTATTTTAAAAAGAAGCATAACTCCATTGTTTTGTTACTAACACTTTCAGATTTTTAGCGATGGTGTATTTTAATATACCGATCGTACCAAAATCTGTGAAAAACACAGTTTCGAATAAAGTGTTGGTTGGGGCCTTTGTGGATTATGGTAACAATATGTATGTACATGCACACCATACATAGTTGATACGAACTGTTTACACGTTTCATGTACTCTCAATTAAAAAAAAATATCCATTATAAGATTGTTGTTTTTTGTTGTAGCGACTACAACAACCCCGCCCAGATCGCTTAATATCTCAGTCGTTGTCGTCAAGTTCCACTAACTAGCCCTAAGAAGCCTGCAGCCTCAATGAGGTCGGTCCACAGGGACTAAGGCGTTAGGGTTGTTGGGTGTTCCGGGCATACGAAGAGATGCTTCGAGTCATGAGGTGTCTCTCCGCATGCCGGACACTCATTCGGCACATCCGCGTTTAGTCTGCTCAAGTGTTTACATGAGGTTTTTTTTACAGGGAATTAGTTGAATAAAAAATTTTCGAAAAGGGAATTGTTGCTAGTGAAAATTTGTGAAAATATCGAATAAGTATAGTATAAGTGATGAGTGAAAACGTGGTAGGAGGGTTGTTAGAAGATTGTATCCTCATTTAAAAGTGAAGACACTAGTTTGCCGAGGCTTTTATTTTAAAAGCTATTAATTGTTTTACACCTATGCTGCACTTCGCGGTTATAACCCTAGGGTGTATAATATGATACATATGAATTCAAGTTGGCGTGCATACCTGGTGAAATATGTCTCAATGAAACAGTAAATANGTTTACATGAGGTTTTTTTTACAGGGAATTAGTTGAATAAAAATTTTTCGAAATGGGAATTGTTGCTAGTGAAAATTTGTGAAAATATCGAATAAGTATAGTATAAGTGATGAGTGAAAACGTGGTAGGAGGGTTGTTAGAAGAGTGTATCCTCATTTAAAAGTGAAGACACTAGTTTGCCGAGGCTTTTATTATAAAAGCTATTAATTGTTTTGCACCTATGCTCCACTTCACGGTTATAACCCTAGGGTGTATAATATGATACATATGAATCCAAGTTGGCGTGCATACCTGGTGAAATATGTCTCAATGAAACAGTAAATATCTAACAAATTATTATAAGTGATTTGTTATACTGACATATTTAGTTAAAGAAAGTTATAACGAAATCAACCTAAAACTTACAACCTCTTACAAAATGAACTAATTTTGTTCTGTTAATTATAGTAGTTATTCATTCACCTTAATTTAAAACCTTTGAGTTATGTTGAGTTATTGAGTTTAATATACAAATGTCCAAATATACATAATTCATATATGCAATATTTTCTGTCTTTTAGCTCCTTAACGGTTCAAAGCAATACCTGCGGCCATTGAGCAGTGCTGTGATTAGCCAGAGCCAATCTTTGGCCGCTCAGAACACAACCCCCGTTGCATTACTGCCACAAATCAGGTCATTCCAGACCTCTCCAGTCNGAACTTACAACCTCTTTCAAAATGAACTAATTTTGTTCTGTTAATTACAGTAGTTATTCATTCACCTTAATTTAAAACCTTTGAGTTATATTGAGTTATTGAGTTTAATATACAAATGTCCAAATATACATAATTCATATATGCAATATTTTCTTTGTCTTTTAGCTCCTTAACGGTTCAAAGCAATACCTGCGGCCATTGAGCAGTGCTGTGATTAGCCAGAGCCAATCTTTGGCCGCTCAGAACACAGCCCCCGTTGCATTACTGCCACAAATCAGGTCATTCCAGACCTCTCCAGTCACTCGTGACATTGATTCAGCTGCCAAATTCATTGGTGCTGGTGCTGCAACAGTCGGTGTCGCCGGTTCCGGTTAGTATTGGAAGAAATATTTCTTAACATCAAAAGCGAAAGAAAGTATGTAGTGGAAAAATGCAGTAAATTCTGTCGAATATTTGTTTTTTTTACCAGTCAGTTGCAATCTAGCATCTGGGGCTCACATACGAGTATTTTCTATCACTGCCTTTCACATTTCTTTCTGGGAATGGTGCTTGTGTCTTGATAGAATGTAGATTACTCCAATATCGCCTCGGGAAGGTCTGAGAGTTGGTCAAAGTTCAAATCAAACA